AAAAAAAAAAAAAAAAAAAAAAAAAGCAAGAGATAAATGTAGAGATGTTGAAAAGAAAGTACCCGGTAGCTTATTGCATTTAGAACATAAAGAAGAGAAAGACAAAAGAGGACAAGTGATGGAAGATAATACAATAGCTAACATTTCTTGACCCTATGTAACTTATAAGGAACTGCCACTTACCTCATTTAACCATTTTAATAAACAGATTTAACCTAAGTGCTCTGACTCAAAGCCCCTATAGCTTACATTATACAAGATTGCCCTGTCTGTGAGACTGTTACATAACATTTTAAATGTTGAATTTAAGGTGACGTAAGAACATCCCATAGGAAATATCCAGCAGGAAAACTAGGACCAGAGTTCAGGAAAGAGATCAGGTCACACAGTATGGATTTAGGAGTCATCCCCACAAAGCGGATGGTAGGTTGAAACCCTGAAGGAGAATGAGGTCTGTAAGAAATTAAATTAGAAAAAGAAGATGATGACAGCCAAGTTCTCAAGAGTAAAAGGCAGGAGGAGGAAGTGAAACCAAGGAAGAAAATGGAGCTGGAATATTCAGTGCACATGTGCATGGAAGAGACCCAATACGGTAGAATGTCACAGGCTCCTAAGGCTAAATAAACAAATTTCAAAGAAGAAAGGGATATCACTTTTATTAAGTACTGTAGAGGGGCAAAAAGAGAAATGGTAGAGGCACAGCTATTGGGTTTAGCAGATAGTAAGCCACTGGTTTCAGGATACAGTTCTTTAATGGTTAACTAAAGATACTTTTTCCAGAATGACAGCTTCTCTAGATAAATTCATCAGTTTAAGAAAATCAAAGAGTCAGACTGTTGCAAACACAGTGAGATTTTACGAGATTCCTTAGAGTTTCTCACTATGCCAGTCAACTTCCAGAAGATTTTATGACATTGAAGTACAAAAACATCTGAAGGACAAAAGCTGGCACCATTTTTAATTAAATGATATTTAATTGGGTGTTCAAAATACATCTTAATTTAAAAGGGCTGCTTGAAAATGTAAAGTAATATACTTGTTGGAGTAAAGAATTCCAATAATTCCTCTTTTGTCTTCCTTTTGCAGCATCCATTTTTAAAATTAGCCAAGCCTCTCTCCAGTCTGACTCCTCTGATTATCGCTGCAAAAGAAGCAATTAAGAACAGCAGCCGCTAAGACTGCAAGCCTTACACCTCACCATCTCCCTCATGAGTAAGACTGAAATAAAACTCTGCTGCAGGAAAGATGGAAGAAAAGACAGTTAAATGGGGTGGGGGTTCTTTATCTTTCAAATGAATAGAAACTTCTTATAAGCCTTTTTCCTACTCCCTCAGATTATGTAATTTATTTGTAAGCCTGAATCGCAGCCCAAACAGGGCAGCAATGTTGAAGTGACCATAAAGCAGTCACTTCCACCGTGAAGCGAAAGAGCCAGTAGTGAATCCCCTCATTTTGTGCATTCACTTTGAAGAAAAAGATTTCTCAAAGATGCACACTCCCTCTTCATAGTGTTGTGTTTGTTTTTAAGTTAGAGAGTAGTCCCTCTTGCATTCAAACCTCCTTCAAAACTCCTTACCCAATGTGATGTTTTTCACTTGCATTGTCATTAGATGTCCAGAAAAAAGATGTCAAAATGTTTTTCTTAAAAAAAGAAAGCAAAAACGCAAAGAAAAAAAAAATTAAAAAGTAAACAAACAAACAAAAAAAAGAGCAAGTACTGTGTGAACATGTGGAAGTCCATGCCCTAATAGAGTCGCAATTTTTTATTCTTCTTCTATAGTGGTGACTTGGTTTGTGTACCTATTTTTCTGCATTTGTGTTGGAAAAGGTTTCTTTTAAGACATTTTCCAAAAGTGGAGAGGAATATGTGTGTTCAGGAAGGGCTTTTAAAAACTGTATATCTAAATAAAGCTCAAACAGTGAAGTCCTGTCACATTTTCACAATCATGCTTAAAAGCTAGTTAAGTAAACCAGGTTGTTAATCTTCTTAATACCTGGAAAAGGACACACTGAAACTGTGACATCCTGCTAGGTGAGTTCAGGTTCTGAACCTAGGAAATCCTGATAGGAGAAACCACATTTAAACAAAGATGGGACTTTCTCTGAGAACCAAAACCAGATAAATGTAGAATACTGAAATCCTTGTTGGACATTGAGTAAACAAAGGTAATGATACCTAAATTAATCCTCTCTTGTGCTTATAAAACATATGCACTGTAAAATAGGCATACCAGGAGGAAATAGTTCCATTAACCAACATTTCCTTATGACACAAATTATTCATTTTGAAAATTTGTAACATTTACAAACGTTTTTTAAAGATCTAAAGAACAGTGATATAGTAAACATTCAACTCTGTAAGAAATGGGAGGTCAGTGAAAGCTACATCCCAATCAATATTTGGCTCTAAGTAGTTGTTCCCATTTTCCCTATGTATCACCTATTTCTGTTTCAGAATATGGTATGTTCATACTTAATTCTTTGGGCTTTTGAATATCAAAAGCATATTCATAAAGATCTTCAAATTCTCTTCAGTGGAAAATAATTTTAACTTACAAACGTATTTCAACAAATGTCAGTCCAACAGAATTCATTTTATGGGTTCAGGAAAATAACAAAATTTGACTATTATTTCACCATACATCTATTTATTAAAAATTCAACAGCTGGCACTTCCTGAATCTTCTGAGAACAGAAAAATATCTGGAAGGTGTCTGTGTAGAAAAGGATATGCTTCTCTTTTGAGTGTATTGACAATTTTATGAATTACAGAAAGTTGTTTCTGTAAGCCTTTGAAAAGCTAACTATTTGTGTTATAGAAGGCTTCTTAATTTGTAGTATTCAAAGAATCTAAACAGAACCTATAAACATTCAGCAAGAAGGGGAAAGAGATTAGTTACTTAGGCCTCTCTCCTTCTTTGCAAAGTTACATCCATCCATTTAACCATCCATGTATTCATTCCTTAAAATGAAAGCACTTTCTTTAGAGTTTCAGCAAAACATTTAGTGTACGTGTTTATGCTTAGGAGATGACCCCACGGGTGTGTTTCCTATTTTCCCTGTTGTTTTCTTTGACTGTAAAATTTGGGAGGGGCTTGACCTCCTCCCCTTGAAAACGTCCACATTGGGATAAAACAACAAATGTGGAAAGAAAACGAAATGGTAATATTAATTTGAAGCATACTATGTTATACCTTGCAAAAAGGCATCTGGGTCTGAACTGCTCTAATGAGAGAGAGAGAGAGGCCTTAATTTTGATTTCATTTAAGTTTTTTCACTCATAGTGCCAGGAAAGTCAATAAAATCCTGGGAGGCAAATAAAAACCAGTACATTGGTGACCATGTCCTGCCAGTGGAGAGAGCCCAAAACCTGGTTAGGAAGACCTGTTCATCAGTTAGCATCTCTTACACGTTGAGAAGGTCTTTTTTGTTGTTATTTTGGAGAACTTGGAGCAGTGATCCTTCAGATCACTGTAGGCAGAGAAATGGCTTCTCTTTTATGCTTTCAGTTCAGCATATTAAAAACGAGGAGCCAAGCACTTCTTTACTACCACTTTGTACTAAGATTTAATAATAATATATCCCAGGAGGCATTACTTTTATAAATTTGTACCTACGTAAATTTTCAAATGAGAACAGCTTCTAAAACCCTTTCCTTGTATTGGAGAGTTGTGAATGTTTCTAATAAGTATTAGAGAGAAGCTGTTTCTCATGCCACAATGATGCTGAAGGATTCACATTTGGTACAATTGAGCAACTTGGACTCCAGATTGTTAACAGTTTATTCTCTTTCCCCAGATTTTTTTTAGCTCATCTTGACACAGGTGAGTCTATCCAAATCTTTAATGTTACTATTGTGCCCTGAGATAATAAGGGCACATCATTGAATGTTGATTCCAAAATGTCCTGAGATAGGAATAGGGCAGTGGGAAAGTCAGGAAAGGGTGAGAAGCACAGTAAAGATTATTTATTTAAAAAAGAAAAGAACGTTAATGTTGTTAGCAAGGATCCAGTGCGTTGTCATAATCCCATGAAGATTGTCGAATGACACAATCCTCTCAAATCAGTCACCATGTTGGGTAATGACTTCGTTCTTGCTGATCTCGTGTATGTGTCATTGTAAATATTTGTGCGTCCATGTTCCATTTTGGCTACTGGATGGCCAAGTCATGTAAGAAAATTTAACTCAAGTATTTATTCTTTATGTTATTCAGATTTCTTTCAGGCTTGTGAACTGCACCTCAATGTTTGAGTTTAACCACCTGATCCTTACATCTATCCCTCCCCGGTGAAGCACATTCCATTGCTAAAAGAAAAAGAAATATGAAATTGCTTCCTGTTGTCTGTATAACTGTTTTGATAGTTTGAGATGTTTGTCTATAAATGATATTTCTCAGCTCAAAGATCGTGTAAATAATTATATTCCTTTGCTTAATGGGTTGTTTGTTTCTAATGAAGCTGCCAGTTCTGAGAGATTCTATAATATCCCTTTTAAATAACATAAACAGGGATTACAACTATGTAAAAAGAAATGCATATGGACAATGACTGGGAACACAGATAATTGAAATCAGTTGTGTTAGGGTGATGGAATTATGTGAAAAAATTTATTTCTTTTAAAAATTTTCTTTGATGTTATAATAATTGCTTTGTAATAAATAGCAGAAAGGGAACTATAGACACATAGAAAAGACACCAGAAGCAGACGCCTTCTGGCCAGAGCCCAGAGCATGCAGGGCACAGATATTTGCTAGTTACAATAATTCCATAGGCTTTATACTTGCCTGGGTGCTGAGGTTGGCACACGCTCGGGTATGGCATGTGCTTTCTTAGGAGACTATTATCAATAAGTTAAAGCTAGGGAGATGTCACTATTAGAACTCCAAACACACTCTTCTGCTTTAAAACAGGCTGTCTGCCCTCTGCTTTGGTGCGGTATTTGGGCGTCTGTTTTGTGGGTTGCTTTAGATTGGAGGGGTGACCATTTTTAGCCCCCTTAATAACATCTGTTGCAGATACTGCCTTTCTGGAATGTTTTAACAGACTTTCAGGTTGAATTTTGGAGGAATAGAAGGATAAAATCCCCAGTTCCCACCATTTTCTTATCCAACAGGATATTACTGTATATCATTCAAGTAGAATTCTTCTTTTAATAACCAAGATGGCAAGTACCATTGATTTCAATGGAAGTTATGACTTGTAATTAAAAGCTGACTTTGAAACCATTAAACAAATATTTAAGACCATCTCTGCCTGTTGGCATTCAGTTATAGTTCTGTTAATTTTGACTTGGTCATTCGCATTGTAAAAATACTTAGGGGAGTCTTAACCCTGCCATTCTCGGTTGAATCTCTTGGTCTTTATCTGACCTACTTGCAGTTAATATTCAGTTTAACAAAGGCATGACCAAGAATGCAAGTATCTCCTAGTCTCTGAGCTCTGAACAAGAAGACTGAAATTCAGCATTTGTAACTTGCAGTTAATATTCAGTTTAACAAAGGCATGGCCAACAATGCAAATATCTCCCAGTCTCTGAGCTCTGAACAAGAAGACTGAAATTCAGCATTTGTAAACTGACAGTTTAATAGGCCTGGGATTTGGAGTGAACTCAGCACACAATTCTGAACATATATTTGTATGTGGACTGGGAAGGAAATAAATGGTAACTTGGAAATAATGGAAATATTTCTCCTATGAAAGAATTTTTCATAAAAGATTTGTTTCTGATATAATTTTTCTGTTGGTTGGCTTTTAGTTTTTTCATTCCTTTTCTGATCCACACTCCTTTAAGTAACCAAATGAATATAAACCAACATGCATTGGGAATGTGTTTAATATTAAACAATGTCCGACTGAATCTGCAAAGGCGGGAACTGAGGTATCACCTTCATGTGCACACCTGTGTGTACAAGTATTCTATATAACTTGTTGCATTTACTGCCACTTAATTGGGTTGAACTTGCAAGATAAACTTTTAGAAACTGGTTAGTGCCATCAGAGTCTCCTTTAGAAGCTGCCATCAGGCAAATGCTATCCCATAATACCAGCAATAAGGCAGGCATCCATTTGTTCACCATATTTAGTACCCAAGAGGAAATCAATAGCAATAATAGAGAATGAGTCAGATGTAGTGGAATAAATACTAGCTTGGGAAGAAGGAGCCCTGGAGTCTAATATGAGCTTTATTACTAATTGCTGTGAGACCTTGGGCAAGTCACTTATCCTTTCCATGACTGTTTCCTCATCTGTAAAATAAGTGTATTGGACTAGATGATCCTTAGGGTCTTTCCAAAAGCTCTAACATTCTACTGTATTATAGGTTGCCTTGCAAATTCAACCTGCTATAGTGATGGCAAATATCACATGCTTAAGCCTGAGTCTCTTATGTTGCAGTTAAAAAAAAGAACTGTGTAAGATGATTTTTAAAACTCAAGCAAATGAAGTTCATAATAATAGGGGATGTTGATAAAACTTGTGGCAGCCTTTCAATTCATTCATAGTTGTTTCGTTTTGTTTTTGTTTTAATGTCCATTTTCTGTTGACTGTTCCCAATTTTCATTTTCCATACACTCTGTATGTAAAGTCTGGTTTTCATTAAGCTGTAGCCAGTATTTGCCACTACAACAGAGATACACTGTCACACTTGCTAGAATATAACTGTACTTGGGCTTCTCCTTTCCTGTGAATTAGTGCTGGGCTTTATAGAGTTTAATTCTCAAGTGGCACAAGATGGCTGAGCCCATGCATTTTAATGGCTGAGACTACTAAGAGTAAACCTAAACACTTACAAGTTGCAGAGAGAAATGAAAAAGTAATTACATGCTCTTAGAAGTCAGAAGTATTGACAAATTCATTTGTTGGGAACCAAAGATAGCATTTCTGATGACAACTCCCGCAGTGATTGACCAGTTGTATGATGAGTACACTGCTGGAAGGAGGGTAAACTGGGAGTTAGTTAGTGGTTGGTCCCAATGCCCTGCCTACAGCAGAGTGCCAGCCGGCCCTGAGTGCAAAATTCAAGCTCAGTATATGTGCTTGTGTATGGCGTGCTTTATGGACCTGCAAATACTATATTGATTATTGATGATAAGATCTTCACAGAATCCTGTAACTATAAGTGCATTGAGTTTTAAATCTCAGTACATCAGCCAGGAGGAGCCAGATCACAAGGATAGTGATGTCTACTTACGACATCTACGCAAAACAAGTTGAGGATCCACATTTTCATTGTTTATCAGAATTGTATCTTATTTGGCTGTGCATTACTTTTGTCAAAATGTGTTATCTGTAAACCATGTGTAGTGAAATTCTTCTGTAACTTTGGATTAAAGGTATATATGGTCTTTTTGTTTGTTGATTTTTAAGTAAGTTATTTCTTTTGTAGACCTGCTGATGGTATGGTTCCATCCTTTTGGCCTCAGCATCCAATCTTTTTAAGGATTTTTGTTTCCAATATTGTTATTTTAAAATGTGGTTGAAGCAATAGAAAATTGAAATATGGATTGTGCATGACTGTGTCTTGAGTGTAAAAATATTGCAGTTTGAAACTTGGACCTAAAGTATTGCAAATAAAAATGACAAACATCAATGAGACAGTGCTTCTGTCTTCTGTCACCTTCCCATCCACCCCCTTAGCATTGACCATTTTACCTACTTCACAGGTTGGAGGGTATATCACTGTCTCATAGGTCTGGAGGCAGGGAAATGCCCAGCCTTGTGACCAATACAGGAAATGCCCTGCAAATTCTGCTACTAAGTAACTCAGACGCAGATTCTCCATCTGATGTTTACATGGAGTAGCTCAGAGACACAAATGTGTATAATCAATACAGGTCAAAAGCCTTGTAGATCACAAATGTAGATGAAGGAAACCCACCACAAGAAATCACATGTAGTAAATAATTTCTTTTGATCATCTTTCCACTTGGAAAATTCTGAGCATGCAAAACCATCTGCACAATGTTTAGTTTTGTCTTATATCTGATACCAAAGTCCAGAGGTCACAGGAGGCATTCCAACCAACATTACTGAAAACCTTCATTCACTAATGTGCTCGTGCATTAGAAAGCATTTATTGAGCACCTGCAACATATCAGACACTGTAGACATTTCTATGAAAGATAACTTTTCTTTGAAAAATTACTCTTAAATGTGACTAAATGACTGTAAAGCTTGTTCAAAGCTGCTAGACGTACTGGTTTGTCGGAGGCTCTTTTGAGTCCTCAAGACTCAAGACAAGGACACCAGCAATTTGATAAACTAGAGGTTTATTCCACTAGTATTACTTGTGCAGTGGACATAGTACTCCTTCTAGAGCATGTGTATATAATTTTGTACGTTTGTGTAAGTGCATACACAATGGTACTATATTCTCTACAAATGGATTACATATCTTACCAAATGTTATTTGGTTGTTTTCTAGTTCAGTGTACTTACATGCAAGCTTTAATTTTCTCACTTAAACTCTTCATATTGAAAGCCAAAAAGACATTTTCTGTAAATACGAGTGGGCAAGTGAATGAGAATTCCAGTAGCTAGGATTTAGCCAAGTTATCTACTGTCCATGTGCACAATTACTGCACTGCCTTCTTACTAACAAGCTCCTGCTAACTAGCTAACCATCCTCACACCCTTCCAGCCTTTCTTGCCAGGTTTGCTCCAACTATTTTCCTATTATTAAGTAAAGTAGAAATACTGTTTATAAGTTAGCAAATTACCAATATATTTTATCAAAAAATAAAATTTGAAGGCATTTTCCTTTGTCACAATGACTTGGAGGAGCAGGGTCCAAACAATGACAAATATATTATTCCACAGCTCAGCCTTATAAGCATGATTACTGGAATTCTAGTCTTATCCAAGTTCCTTACCTCCTACTGAAGTCAGGAGGGGCTGATACTTGAAATGTCCCACAGATTATAGTTGTTCTCCACAGCCCATGAGGTATTTGCCCCCAAGCACTTGGGTGGCATCTGCTGGCTTCCCACGTACCTGTGGGAAGCACCACTACTACCACCACCCTCTGCTAATCCTGTGCCTGTGTCACTGTACAATTGCTCCTGTGTTTGCCATTCTACTTTGCAATGTACACAGCAGTCCCTGATGCTGACAGATCTCTGGGTAGGCCACTGGGATGACTCAACCACTTTGCAATATTACAGCTGATTACTTTTTATTTGTTTGCCATACCTGATGGCAGAAACCCTTCTCATGGAATAAAATTATTCCACTACATCTTTGGACCTATCTTGATAGTTCTTTTTCAGTTTTTGGCACCTCACTGAACCAGGGAGCAAATATGGTCTTGGCTTTTCCTCTCTCCTTTGTTGGGGCTTGTCAGGTCAACTTTTGCATATTCCAGGCCTGTTGCCTACAGTAGAGGTTAATCTGAAGCCTTTGCTAT